TTGATTTTTATGAAATATGGATTGGGTTTGAGTTGGGTTTGAAGTGATGTGTTAGAGAAGTGATGTAACTTAAATAAGATGATATGACTTAAATAAGATAGTTACTTTTTAACTTTTTAACTTTTTATTTTTTTTCAAACATGTCAAACTTGACCTTATTATAAATCAAGATTTTTGGATGTTGATACATAATATTTACTCAATGCAAAAGATGTATATATGATTTTTTATTTTTTATTTGTTCTATCTTTTCTTCAATCAACATCAAATGCAACGTGACAGTTTCTCATAATTGGTTTAACTCTCTTTCTTTTTTTCCTAATTTAGGTCTCATTTGGAGACAGTATATTTTAATTAAAAAGTCACTATAAATTATTATATTATTTTTTATTTTTTATATATTTTTTTATATAATATTAAAAAATTATTAAAATAATATGTTTCCAAACCAAACCTTAATAACATCTTTTAATTGTTGTAATTAACGGAATGGCCCATAAATAACGTGGCAGATCCTCATATCAAATTTTAAACACTTGGGTCTCTTTTGGGAATACAAAAATAAGTTTCGTTTGGGATGCGGGTTAATTTTTTAACTTTTTAGCTATTTTAATTTAGGAATAAAAAATTTCGTTTGGAATGGATTTTTTGACTTTTTAAATTTTTGTGAGAGAAAAAATAAAATGATTATGATTTAATGTGACATTTTATTTTATTAGTTTTTTAGCCTATTTTATCTTAGGGGTTGTTTGAGGTGTCCCAAATAAGTGTACTTTTTGTCTTTTTGGACTAAAAAATTGAGGAAAAAAATATAGATGTTTGGGTTAACTTTTTGACTTTTTATGAAAAAATATGAAAAAATATGTATTAAAAAATTGTATAAATTAATGTGTAGGAAAAAATTAAGAAGAATTGTATAGCTATAATTTTTGACTTTTAGTGAATAATGATAACTTTTTAACTTTTTAAGTAATTTTTTAATTTTTTAACTTTTTGACAACTTGCCAAACTTAGCCTAAATAACCCAACCCAGCCACAACCTTCATACCAAACGAAATTGTTTATTAGCTTATTTTAATCGTATCATCTCTTTATTTTTTTTTCCATCTTTTTGTAATAATAAAAAAAATTAACTTAAAAATTATATTCCAAACAACCTTTATATTACGTTTGACTCCAAAATTTGACTATGTAAGCAGGTGAAATTAGTGGAGGCTCAGGTTGACTACATCATGCAAGATATGATTTTATTGGAGGAGTGGAATTCGTATGATGTGGGAGGATATGACATTTTAACATTCTCAATCGGTATCTTAATTTAGCAAGAGCACTTTATGTTGTGGAGTCTCAAAATTTGTGAATTAAAATGTATTAATTGAAGAAAAAAATAAATAAAAATAAGATCAAATTTTACTTCAGTTTGGAAAGTGAATTGATTTTTTAATTTTTTGACTATTTTAGCTTGGGACTAAAAAGCTTGATTTGGGAAGGACTTTTTAACTTTTTAGCTTTTTTAACTTTTTTTTTTAGAGAGGAGTGTAATGATTATGAGTTGGATTTGATGTTTTATTTTTTGTGGCTAAAATAGCCTATTTTATTTTTTGTGACTATTTTAGTCCATAACCCACCAAAACTAACTTCCTAAACTATTATATGTTAAATTTTTGTTAATTTAAAAAGTGAATAAATGTTCCAATAAAGATATTAAAATGAGTGTTAAAAGGCTTCGTTTGGGAACCCTCTATTTTACTCAAAGAGTAATGATTCATCCCCCCTTTTCCCCCACCCCCTTTGACCCCCTCTCTCTCTCATTGGTTACCTTTTCTTTTTCTTTTTCTTTTTTTTCCTGCTCCTCCAATCACTCCCTGCCACGTGGCAAAGGGGGGTGAGGGGGTGACCCCCAAAAGGAGGTCCCAAGCATTATTCTGGGAAAAAAAAGTCTCATTTGGAATGAACTTTTTGACTTTTTAAACTTTTTGAGAGAAAAAATAAAATGATTATGATTTAATGTGACATTTTATCTTATTAGTTTTTTAGCCTATTTTATCTTAGGAGTTGTTTGGAGTGTCCCAAATAAGTGCACTTTTTGTCTTTTTAGACTAAAAAATTGAGGAAAAAAATATGGATGTTTAGGTTAATTTTTTGACTTTTTATGAAAAAATGTGTAATAAAAAATTGTAAAAATTGATTTGTAGGGAAAAATTAAGATTGGGAGTTGTGCAGCCGTAATTTTTGACTTTTGGTGAATAATGATAACTTTTTGACTTTTTGAATAACTTTTTAACTTTTTGACAACTTACCAAACTTAACCTAAAAAACCCAACCCAGCGGCAACCTTCATACCAAACGAAATTGTTTATTAGCTTATTTTAATTGTATCATCTCTTTATTTTTTTTATCCATCTTTTTGTAATAATAAAAAAAAATTAACTTAAAAATTATATTCAAAACAACCCTTCTATTATGTTTGACTCCAAAATTTGACTATGTAAGCAGGTGAAATTAGTGGAGGCTCAGGTTGACTACATCATGCTTGATATGATTTTATTGGAGGAGTGGAATTCGTATGATGTGGGAGGATATGACATTTTAACATTCTCAATCGGTATCTTAATTTAGTAAGAGCATTTTATGGTGTGGAGTCTCAAAATTTGTGAATTAAAATGTATTAATTGAAGAAAGAAAAAATGAAAATAAGATCAAATTTTATATGTTAAATTTTTGTTAATTTAAAAAGTGAATAAATGTTCCAATAAAGATATTAAAATGAGTGTTTAAAGTGTTTTAAAGAGTTGTTTGGGATGACCTAAATAAATGTATTTTTTATCTTTTTACAAAAAGATGTACAGAAAAGTAAAAAAGTGATGTGATAAAAAAAAATAAAAAGATGAATTATATTGGAGTTGTCAAATTTAACCAAAGCGTGGGTTTAAGTGTCATATTGCGTACGAGAAGAGAATAAAATAATTAAATAATAATAAAAGTGTAACGAGTGTTACCCACGTGCATTTCCAGCTCACTCTCTCTTGGCAAGCTAACTTTGTCACCACGATTACCAATCTTTTGGAAGTAGGGATGCTGCTGTGAGCAGCCCACATCAACTCCTTGCGGGGTTCTGGTAGAAGTATTGTTTGAGCGTTTTTTTTTTAATAATTTAATTCATTTATATTATAAGATTAGTTAATTAAGTCATCTATACAAAAAAATTAATAAAATTAATTAGACATTTATAATTCCGTAACAAGAACAGGTTTATTTTTTTAACAAATAAATGGTTAACTTCATCATAATTTTTTAAAAATAATTAATATTTGATCTTGGAGTTATAGAATTTTGATTAATTTGATTTTTTGTAAGGATAATATACTCAACAAATCCTACAATACGAACTGTTCGAATTATTAAAAAAGACTCGTAAAAAGCCTCAATCGGAGCACCACTGGGGGCTGCTGTGATATGCTCATAGCAGCATTCCTCAAATCCAAATTATTATTATTATTATTATTATTTTTTGATAAATCGGTACACTTGACTAGCAAGTTAACACCAATCATAACTAACAAGTTAACAAATGCATTAGAGCAAAAACCAACACTTTAATCATTAACTGTCTTAACATCAAATTAACTCATGCATGAAAGATACTCTAAGGAACCCAAGTCCTAAAAGAAGTCGACAACTCTTAAGAGATAAAAGGTAAAATTTCCTAGTCCAATCCAAATAGGGCCAGGTACCAAATAGCATGCAATGTTATTCACAAGGAAGTTTCAATATACTCCCTTCTTCACTCCCACCATATTCAAAACTCTTTCTATAACAGAAAAAAGTGACTCACTTTTTTGCAGGTAGTCCCTAAACATCCCTTTGTTCTTTCCTTGAACATGAAACGAGGGTGGTGTTCACAAAGTGGATTGCGCACCTCTCCCCCACATTGTATTCATCCCCTTTTTGAGAAACAACACACCCTGCAACCAAAAAAGTTCTCAAGGCTACTATAGATGGCATGCCTAATCTGCAATTTTAATTACCTCTCAATCTTTACATATATGTGTGCATGTGTGTATCGGTAACAAGGGTATCTGCCGGCACTGCAGTCCCCTGGATCTTTAGAGAGCATCCACAGATTACTTCTCAAATAACTTTTTTTTTTTTGGGTAAATAGTTCCCCAAGTATATACAGTCCCGGGGGGGTCAAGCACTTAGTGAGATTTAAACTTGTAATCTACACTTCATGAGACGCTTGTCATGGATCAATTTATCAGTCGGCTAAACCCTTGAAGTTAATCTTTAAAGGATAATTATGAGTAAGAAATCAGGAAGTGGTAGTTTTCTTAATATCAACAGGTCACTTTACACTGCATGCACAAATCATTAGGTCATATGATGTTTTGCAGCCAAGGTATATTCAGTTGTAGAACTTTTTGAACCAGCAACTTACAGCTTTGATGAGTCTCAGTGAGGCTAGTTTTGACAGATGTTGATTTCAAATCCAAGTGATTTGATCTTGATCATTCAAAGACAATAACTCAAATTTAAATATAATAATTTACTTGTGAATTTCAAGATTGAATTATATAGCATAATCATTAGGAATTTGAAACTAGTTATTTGAAATTATGCTAAGGATTCTCTTTCTAACTATGAGGATTCTAGTAAAATGTATCCATCTTTTATCTCAACTTATCATCTTCCATTGTTTTTCTATATATTTAACCTCAAATCCCTTGATTTGAAATCTAAAATTATCCCAATGGACCCTAATAGCTATCTATCAGACGTTCATATTTTGATTTTTCAGTATGTAGCTAAAGAAAATTCATTGGAAACCCTATTACTGCAAAACACTCGAAAAACAACTGCATCTAATGAACATGTAACTCTACAAAATTGAAACTCTTTATTATGAAGTCAGTGAATATATCTGTTAGGAGCTTCCACAAATTATTCAGTTTAGCGCTCAGGCTTGTTTGGTATGCCTACTTGATATTTATAATCAAATGTATTTTAATTCAACCTGTGTTCTATTTAATTTAAATCAATAATTTACAAATTCACTTGAATTACAGCAGATTCAATTTCAACGACATTCAATATGCCTACATTAGATGCAGTCATCAACCAGAAATCTTACCGTGATTGTAAATTACCGCGCAGCAATCAGATTCAACATAGTTGTCGCGACACAGGTACTAAAACCCCTTCTGCGCTCTGTGCAAATGCAAATTTGGTACCTCACTTTACATTGTCAACTGTATTACAAAGTTCTGTAGAGAACATTTGTTAGTATAAAGCTTCTTCCACCTTGACAAGCCTCGCTACGCAACAAAGAAAGCTTCATCGCTTTCTGGGACAACAATATCAAGCCGCATCATGGGCTTGTATTTATCAGGAACTTGAGCACCTGCCTGAATGCACATTTCAATTACAGCCGGAGCCTTCCCGTAGAACCTCTTAAGTGCACTCCTCAAAGGAGGCCCTTTTGGATCCCGAACATGCCACACATAATTCGGGGGGAAAACTTCATCCACCGTGGCATCCTGCCAACCGTGCTTCCCGTCCCTCCATTGGTGCTTAAATTCTCCACAAAGCTTAGCATTGTGACCCCATGGACCCACATGAACCTCCGAGCAATACCCACAAGCCTTCACTGTGTACTTCCTCATCAGCTTCGCCACACCCCATTTGACTTCCTCGTATGCACGGATGGTCTCCTGTGCGATCCTAGGCACTTCTAACTCTGTTGGAGTTGGAAATCGCTCAGACACCCTGTGTGTGTCAAGGTCTACCAGTGAAGAATTTGAAACTACAGGGATGCACTGTTTTGCAGGCTCGTCGACAAATCCACCTCGGTCGATCACTTTCCTCCCAATCATTCGGACAGGCACAGTGCGACGCCATGAAGGGTATTCTGGTAAATCAACTCCTGCTTGGATGCATAGCTCCACAAGAGCTGGAATTCTGTCATACATAAATCGAGTCTCATGTTTAATGCGCTTACCGAAAGGATCATACATATGGTATGACTCAATAGGGAGAAGTACATCATTAATTGATCCTTTGACCCATGAATGGAAGCCTTTGCGCTGTGGACTGGTTGGGCCATGGCAATTTTGAATGTCATGACTACTCTGTGCTACATGAATTTCTGAGCACTCGCTGCACATGAAACATTACATTTACTTCTCTGAAATATAGATCTTGCTAAATAAAATCATAGAATAGAGTAGGGGACAACTGCAGACTTGTTACATATACTAATACCAAATAAACGTACCTGCAAGCGTGAACAGGAACAATGTGCAAGAGCTGTGCAATTCCTCTAATTAGAATTTTCCAAGCATCCAGTACATCATAAGCAACTGGAATTAGATCAGGAACAAGAAGTCCATTTTTTGGAGGCTCGAGGGGCTTCTCTATTCCCATTTGTGCAAGCTTTTTGTCAGCTCTGGCATTCTGCTGTATCTTCTTAAGAGGGATTGGATAAGGTTTTTTTTGTTGCTTGGGCAGCAATGGAGGAAGATCCACATTTTGAGGATTTGCTTCCTGTTTCTTAGAGTTAAATCTTCGAGCAGGCCTCTGACTACCACAACAGAAAGTCCCTGATGTTGTCGGGCCATCAGTTTGAATCTTTTCTTGCGTGATCTGCAACTAAAACAAAACTGTTGTCAGCCTCTATAGCATCTTACTCAGAATAAACTATAAAAACAGAGCACAAATCACCATATTGGAAGAACAAGCAAGGTCAAGGGCTTCATTCTACCCATTTTACAAGTAAAAAACATGTATTCGGAAAGTACTATATACATTGTGAAGGCTTTAATAAGCATAAATATTGGCATTTTGTTGTCGACTTTTCATTACAGAGGTAGAGTGGATTCAGCTTTCCATCTGCAAATTTGTAATTAGGATAAGAAAAGTACTAGAGACTAAAACAAAAATGCATTAGAGATCTGAAAGACCCTCAACGAGTACCACCATGATAAATCTGACTGGAGACGGAGAGAATAGATTTAAAGAATTTGAGATTAACTTCCTTTTAAAGGATTTGTAGAGCACCAATTGACCAACGAACAAGGAGTACTCCGTGATGTTAAGCACACTTTTGTTGTCAATCATGCTTTTAAAGAATTCATTAAAGCTATCAGTGCTACAAATTATCTAGTGCTATCGGTGTCTCATTGGATAACTTATCCCGCCTTTGGGATAATTAATCCACTCTATGTACATTTTTCATCCTCCATCCAACCTCAAAATTTTATAAAATCTTTTTATCACTCTAATCAAAACATAGCACAATAATCTCATGTCTTAATATAGAGAGAAAAAAATGTGAGTATTGCAACATTTCTCATCTTCTAATCTTATTTCCGAAACAAACAGGACCTAAGCATGTTAAAACCTCACCAAATGTGAGCAGTGAGGTTGGGCGTGATAGCTTCATTAGTCCCTATCTGTTCCATCACCAAGCTATTACAAGTTCACTCTTCCATGCCCTTTAACGACTCTACATTTTATATTACCTTCAAGAGTAGACTACATATATAACTATATTTGGGTCTTAAAAATTTAATTTAAAAAAAAAAAAAAACAAGCACTAGTGGGCCAACCAAACAGGCATATCCATGTGAAAATTCAATTTGAGCTCCACATATTCTCCCAACATTCACATCCCCCATTTCAGTGGGTATAATTATTGAAGTTTAACCAGAGGTAATTTGAAGCAGAAACCAGAGAAACATTGAATGTAGAGTTAGTAAACCAAATGCCTCTGAACTCAAAATTAATGGAGACCAAAATGGAAACAAAAAGTTTGAAAATTTCACAACTTAAAAAAAAAAAAGGGCCATGTAAAATGTCCATTTTTTGCTTTCCACACATTCTCCGGTCCAAAAGCAAAAGGGCCATTTATACATGAATTCTCCCCATGCACTCATCAGCAATTACCTTGGCCTTAGTAGCAGGAAACTCCTATAGAGGCCTTGCTCCTCACTCCCACTCCCACTCCCACTCCCACTCCCACTCCCACTCCCATCCTTCAACTCTTCTATGGGATCCTCGCTTCCTCATCCCCACTCCTGCTTCATGCAACTATGATCTCGGCTTCCCCCAGTTCCCGACCCTGCTTAACCTCACCCTAATATTTCATTTTGACATTACTATTTACCTCTTCGTTTGGTTTTGGGGCTTAAATGATTGGATACTACTTCGCACCTTACTTTCAAGTTTGAAACCTTATCATTTGTTGAAGTCCTAAGAAAACCCACCAGTACTTAGACCATTTACAAATTCAGGCAACTCAAAACTTAACAGTGACTTTCTCCTATGTAATTGTGTATAATTCTAGATTGACAATTCAAAAAATTTCAGCTAATCTAGGCTGGAATTTATGACTAACCAAATTTCCATAAATATTGCTTTTATCCATGAAGCTTTAGAAAGAAGTTCCAAGTCTAATATAACCTCTAAGCATAGAGAGATAGATGAAGAATCCTCATAATAAGAGAGGGAAACGAATCAGTTTTCCATAAATTTGAGAACAATGTCAATGTTATATGGGGAGAGGTTGAACTGTGAAAGAAAGTTGTGCATCCAAACGACAGTTCTTTTTCCAATGCTTTTTAGAAAGTCAAGAAGCAAAGAGAATGGGATATATTAATCAAGCAAGTCCAGGACATAGGACAAATATACATGACTGGATGATGTGTGCACATTAACAATTAAATGCAAATTTATTAAATTATCTTCAGGGTGAAGCATCTGGAGTGATATACTTTCGGTGGCCCAATTTCACCTCAAGGCAACTTAGACAGGGATTTTGACCAGATGGATTTAGCAAACTCAAAGTAACCATTGATGGCAACTGAAAAATATTTACTAAGGTCATACTTCATTTTGGGCTAGCCAAACACAACAACATTGATGAACAACATCAACTTTTAAATTTAGCACAATGGACTAAAATCATGGTTCCAAGAATTTCTTGTATAACACGCTTTAGGAAATGATGCATGAATTGCAGAGTAAACAAGAAAAGGTTCTCCTAAAGTGCATAAAGAGATATAATTCAATCACTCTGCACATACTACTTTCAAAATAATTTGCAGAGATAAAGAAACTGAAAAAAATAACAGAGTTCAGCAAGAGAGAGATAGAAAACCTTCAACCAAAGAGAATACGACCTCGAGACTGGTAATCGAGGTCTCTTACGCTCCACCATGCCAAGGCAAACACCTGAAATTAGAAACCAAATTGCATATCATCCTAGTAAAGAAATATAATATCTAAAAGAGAAACTTCTAAGCTTGCAGTTCTTTTATGTGCAAATCACGGCAGGCAAGCCAAAATGGTGGCGTAAAATATACCATGTTGGGCATTGATGCCCATATGCCATAGTTCATTTTGTTTTGAGGTCTCCAAATCACACAACCCACATCCATGTAGACTTAGTGTCATTGTCACATTGCAAATATAAGATATAAAGGTAATACAACGGAGGTAAGAAGAACTGACCCCTCTGAGATGGATTCCATGATGCAAAAGAAACTGATGGAAATTGCTGAAGCATTAATCTGAAGCAAATGGTAGATATCTGCTGTCAAATTTTCGTTTCCATAAAAAATAAAAAATAAAAAGTAAAAAGATAGTTCTGTAGAAAGGCACCAGAACAGGAGCAAGCTATACAAACAAAACAAACCCATATACAAAAACAAAGCTCTAATGTGTCTATTAGACCCAAAAAACTATCCTGTAAAGGACAACCCTTTCGAAGCCTAGCGATACAATTTGAGCAAGGGACACTTACCAATCAGTCCTATTTAGTAGACAATCAGTCCTATTTAGTAGACTTATTTACCTACAGGTCCTAAGTGATAAATTTATCACTGCAAATTTATTCAGAAAAAAGAGACTTTATCAATAGGACTTAACGGGTTACTTCAAATTCTCTCTAAATCAAGGAAGTGTCTAAGCATACCACATGAACATCAAATTGAACAACTGGGTTCACCAAATTACTATTTGGACTGGTGAAATGCACAACGCTGATCATATCTAGATACCTAGAAGTCAAAGATAACCATCAAGGGATGTGAAGAATTTTAAATGCAAAATTGCATCCATTGTGGCTTTTTATCAAACAGGTAGTGTGGCAGTGGATGCCTATTTGAAATCAACGTAATCAGACAATCGTAAACCACCGAAAGAACTCATACACCAAAATAGAATTGGAAAGAAAAAAATCATAAAGAACGGCAAGTAAATCATAAACGTTAAAAAGTACAATAAATTAAATAAAAAGAATTTAAGAATTAAAGAAACATTTGCTTGGATTATGATTTACTTTCAACGTTTCCGAATCCAGGAAACAGGGCGAAAAAATCCAACAACTTACAATTGTTTTCTTTCTTTGATAAATTCTTTCAAAACTTTGGCCGAATGTTTCCTTAAAGCTATGTTTGTTTGGGGGAGGGACATGCTCTCTAAAATGCCTCTTCAAAGTATACAAAAAATTACCTTCTTTATGTGATCATCAATGTCCTAAATCATGTATTCCTTTGCAGATAGATGATGGGGAAGAACAGGGAAGTGGAGAAAGAGAAAGAGAAAGAGAGCCATACCTGTGATCATCAATGGGCTGGAACAGAGATGGAACAAGCAGCGATGGAGGCCAACACAATGGCGGGAAGAGTGCTTTGCCTAGCAATGGATGCTGGCTACCTGTGGAGAGCCAAAACGAGAATTGGCAAAATGCCTCCTCAGATGCAGAGCGCGTTGGACCTTCGAAATCTGACTTCAATAGGCAAAATGCCTAATTCTCCCCTTTTGGCTCTTGCGTTGGAGATGCTCTAATGGAGTAATTTGGGGGCCTAGATAAATGTAAGAAAAAATTTACCTTGGGGGAAAGAAATTTCTTACATAATATTATGAAAAAAATTAATAATAATAAATTGATCTATATCAATCATTACCCTCATTCACATTATGGGTAAATTAACAATAGGTTATAATAGTTAAACTTAATTCATATCAAGTTCTATTGAAAATAAATTTTAATAAAATCGTAACTAAAAATAATTTTTATATGATGATATTTTACATATGTCATTAAAAATTGACGATTAGTGACTTTCTTTTATCACAACTTTTATAAATTATCCCTAAAACTTACAATTAGTAACGTTTTTCTGTGACGATTTTTCCAAATTGTCACTGAAAATTGAAATTTTGTGACATTTTTTTGTGACGCTTTTTTTAAATTGTCACTAAAACTTATAATTAGTGATATTTTTATGACAAAATTTTTAAATTGTCGCTGAAAATTAACAATTAGTGATACTTTTTTAATAGTATTTGATGAAAAATGTCATTAATTCTCACAAGACCTATTGAACAATAAATCCACCTATTATGATCTACACCTAAGTCCTCATTTGACTAGTCATTCAATTTTTTAGTTATATTATTACAATGTTTAATTGGACTATTTCATTTTACAAATTTGCCTAGGAGGAAAATAAGAGCTTTTTTTTTCCTCATTTGGGAACAGACTTTTTAATAATTTTTTAATTTTTTAGTTAAAATATGGTATAAAAAAATTAAAATATTTAAGATGACTTTTTAATTTTTTACGAAAAGATATGCAAAAAAGTAGGGAGAAAATTGAAATCTTTAACTTTTTAATATGAATTATTGACTTTTTGATTTTTTTAGTAACTTTTTGACAAAAAAAATCACTTGCCAAACCCGGCCTAACCTATTTTTTAAATTATTTATCAAATTAACTCACTTTTCAAATCACATTTAAAAATACGAGTTTAGATTGAAGTCATATTTTGAAAATGTAATTTCAAATTAACATGACTTCTGATACATTGATGTAGCAAGTTAAAATCGAATGTTTAAAATGCGATTTCAACCACAACTCGCATTTTCAAAATACATAATTTCAAGTTGTGATGCTGACGTGGCATATAGAACTCACATTCTGAAAATTCAATTTCAATTTGAAATTTATCAATTCCTTAGTAGCTTGAAGTTCCCTTTGCTTTCTCATTTTTAGCTTGTATAGCCAAACTATTCATATGATTAGTACAAACAAAATAATAATAATAATAATAATAATAATTCCTTACCCTTTTGTATTCAACAAATGCATAAATTTTAATTCATGTCAAATCTTCACTCGTATTTTTTGGGAGTTTTTTTTTAAGATCCTTGATATTATGATTTTATAGTATAAAGGACACTCAATATTTTTATAATGTCTAAGGTCCCTCAACATTAATCCAGAGAAAATTCAATCAAGAGAAAATTCAATCCAGTGAAATTCTTTGGTTCAAACTCAGAGAAAATTCAATTTAATCCAGAGAAATTCTCTGGTCCAAACCAGAGAAAATTCAATTCAGTGTTATTCTTTGGTAAAATTGGACTGATTAAGATGGAATCCACTGATTCACTGAATTCAATTCAGTGAAATTCTTGAATTTTCAATTGAATCAGTGAAATTCAATTCAGTGAATCAGAATGAGAATCCTCTGAATTAGAATGTGAATGCTCTAATTCTACATAATATTGTGGCTGTCTTATTCAATTTTACTCAATTAAAGGCAGAGAAAATTAACCTAGAGAAAATTTCTCTGGTTTATAAATGAACCTAGAGAAATTTGAATTTGAACCCAGAGAAAATCAGTCAAAATGAATCTAGAGAAATTTGAATTTTCTCTGGGTTGAACGCAGAATTTCTCTCAAATTTCCTAAAGCAATTTTACCTCAAACACAAAAATTCAACAAAAAAAATTCAAAAATTCTCTGGAGATAGTTTCTTGAACTTTGCAACGAGTTCTGGAAATCCAAACAGAGTCATAGCACCTTCTTTGGCGATTTCAGCGAAGCACGATTCGGAGATTCTCGAAGATGCAAAGTCATTCATGAAATTTCCATTGCGAACAGTAAGCAGTCCGTAAACATGAAGCCAGTTTTCTCCACCTCGGTTTACGAGTGTAACTTCCACAGTAGCCCCTATCGCATTCCTCAACACTACGTAGTTGACCGTCACCGAACCATTCTTGCCAGGAACGTCGTCGTATAAGGGCTCATCATACTTATTGGCGGTGTTGTAAACGTTCCACGGTATCTGCTCGCTGCTGACATCATCGTCCGGAGACAATTTGTCCTTATTCTTGAGAGCCATGTTGATAGTGAAGCTATCGCAGGCTGAGATGGATTGAGCTGGGCCAGTCAGCAAAGAGGTTTGGACCAGGCTAATGGATTCGTAATGATCTCTTGATCGGTTGTAGATGGATTGAGAACTCTGTCCGTCGGTGACTGTGATTGTGACTGTGATTGTGCCGTAAAGCTTCTCTCCGTCGATCAAGCTCCTCGAGAACCTCCCTAAACCTCTCCACTGACACATTTTTCGGCAAATTGATGGAAATCGGTGCCGGATCCTCGGCCTCAACGTTGCTCAGAATGGTTTCCGAGCTCCTTTGTTCCAGTCGGAGAATGCGCTGGCGCCTCTGTGAACGACGACGGATTTTAGGGAGAGGAGAGAGATGTCGTTGGGGGAGAGAGAGTGTGTAAAGTTGAGATTTTGGATGTAAATGAAAAAACATAATAGGAGCAGAGAGAGTTGAGACATTTGGAGAAAACAGAGCAGAGCTGAGCTGATATATGTTTAGAGAGACAAAGAGTCAAATTTCTCTGATATGTGTTTAGGGACCTTAGACATCAAAAAATATTTTTGTGGATCTTTTCCATTACGAAAAGTGTGAGAGGGACCCTAGACTAATTTTCCCTATTTTTTTTTCCCTTTCTATATATAGTAAAGTGAATTTTGATAAAAGATGAAGTAGTCTTTTGAGGTAATATAGTAAGCCCTATAATTTTGATATAATTACATTGATTATGGAATTTTTTATGAGAAATTTGTTGATGCAAAGTTACTTGGATTTTGTGATAGTGATTGGGCCGGATGTGTTGAATATATGAAAAGCACTTATGGGTATGCATTTCTCTTGGATCGGGCGTAATTTCATGGTCATCTAAGAAACAACAAGCTGTGGCACAATCATCTGCTGAAGCCGAATATATTTTAGCATCATTGGCAACTACACAAGCAATTTGGCTAAGAAGAATTTTGGATGATTTTGGTGAGAAGCAAGGTGAAGCTACCCCAATTATGTGTGACAACAAGTCTACTATTGCTATGACAAAGAATCCCATCTACCATTCTTGTACCAAACACATTGCTATCAAACATCATTTCATTAGAGAAGCTGTGGAAGATGATGAGATTCAAATAAAGTATTGCAAGACTGAAGATCAAGTTGTGGACATCTTCGCCAAAGCTCTACCAAGGGACAAGTTTGAATTTTTTAGAGAAATGTTGGGTGTCACACAATGTGGCATTAAGGGTGAGTGTTAAAATTAATGCCATATTTACATTAGATACATTGCATGCATTGGATACATTGAGTTCATACATTATTGGTATTCTTGTATTTTTATATTCATGTATTTTATATTTATTAAGTACATTGTCTCGATTATATTCATGTACCTAGTTAATTGCAAGGTTGTTTAGGTTCATGGATCTTATTCATTGAACTTATGTATAACCTTCTTTATATAAAAGGATGTAAGCCTATGGGCAAATGATATGAATAATAAGAGAGAAAATTCAATACAAAATAATAGTTCATTCTAGAGAGAGTTTTTTAGCTTTTGATAAAACTCTTTCTAGAATGAACTATTATTTTGTATTGAATTTTTCTCTTATTGATTCATATCTTTTGCCCATATGTTTACATCCTTTTATGTAGATAAGGTTATACATAAGTTCAATGAATAAGATCCATGAACCTAAACAACTTTACAATTGACTAGGTACATGAATATAATCTAGACAATGTACTTAATAAATATAAAATACATGAATATAAAAATACAAGAATACACAGAATGTATGAACTCAATGTATCCAATGTATGCAATGTATCCAGTGTATCTAATGTAAATATGGCATTAATTTTAACACTCCCCCTTAATGCCATATTGTGTGACACCCAACATTTCTCTAAAAAATTCAAACTTGTCCCTTAGTAGAGCTTTGGTGAAGATGTCCGCAACTTGATCTTCAGTCTTGCAATACTTGATGTACAAACCAATGTATGCAATGTATCTAGTGTATCTCATGTAAATATGGCATTAATTTTAACACTCCCCCTTAATGCCATATTGTGTGACACCCAACATTTCTCTAAAAAATTCAAACTTGTCCCTTAGTAGAGCTTTGGTGAAGATGTCCGCAACTTGATCTTCAGTCTTGCAATACTTGATGTACAAAGTTGGCTCACTTTTGCTTCTTTGAAAACCCTTTTCATTGAAGTAAGCATCAAATTCACTATACCATGCCTGGGGGGCTTGC